CTTCTCTATCTGACACACTATAATGCATAGTGATCGGTCTCAAGTAAAGGTGTGCAAGAATTTCTATAGATATGAGAGCATTCGATAGCACATATAATGCATTATAAAATGTGTTTGTATGTCAATCAATAGATCCGAAAGTCAACAGTAATAATATTAATTTCTGATTTTAAATATTGATATTCTTAGATAATGAAATCATTTATAGCTTGTGACACAAAAGTCTTTGCACATATACCAGATTGCATTAGATAATAACTAATATAATTCTTATTTTTTGGATAAACAATCGTCTGAGAACTTTACATTTTCTGGACGAATCTGAAATAGAAATAAAAGTAAAAAAAAAGGTTTTAGAAAAATATTTTGTAATGTTTTTGCAACTTGAAAAATCTTTAATGTTGAATTATTTTCAACTAACCTGATTCAACTTACACAAAAATAATATAATTAGATGTAGTGTATCAAAAGCTTTATCGATATCAACATTGCTAAAAGTTTTTCATTTCTTAATGGAACGAATCCGAAACAAAAGATTTGGGTTAAATAATTTTCTTCTATTAATTACAACTCAGCATTCGCACAAAGTAGACAAAAATCCGTTTTGCGATGTTAGTAAAATATACTTCTAATTATCTTATTTGATTAGAAGAAAATAATTTTTGATTATCTGTATAAAATAGTCAGATAATCAAATGAATTGAATGACATAGACTTCTTTACAAAAAGTTCTAATTTAGTACATTAAATATCACTTCTGGTTCAAAACGATTTCAAGACTAATAGTCAAATTCTATAGATAGTTGTTTTTAAGAAATAATCATGTTTTTTCTGTTTTATATTCATTCTATAAACATATCTCAAATACAAATCTCTAGTTCACATGTCACCTCTTCCAATCAAAATAATTTCGAAGTCATGACGACAGTAAAATTGTGCATGAAATTTGTACAAAGACTTTCATAATGTGAATTAAAAATTCAATATGAATAAAACAGCTGAGATTTAATTAATATTAGAAACTCGTCGAGTAATTTTATTGATAGATTATTTACTATTTGTTAATATTACAATTCTTTATTTGATTTAATTGAATTAATTCTGTTATTCTTAATACTTGAGAATCATTGTGAATAAATAATAATATTGTAAAAATAAAATAATAATATTCGTAGTTATTATAATAATTTCTCAAATAATGATAAAATACTACTTCATTTCATTTAAAATATATATTTGAACAACGATTTGCAAATGTTTTCCTTTGATATTATTGATACTTTATTTGACTTTGATAAATACGTTTATATTTGATATTTTATCTATTAAAAAATATAATAGCAACACGATTTCTTTTGATCTGCAAGTGATTTGTAACTGATGTCGATAAAGTAATTAAAATAATTTCTTAATATGTGTGTTCTAAACGCAAATAGGATTCTTTTACTTCGCGACAGAAATTATAAATATCGTAATTTGTTTTCTAATAAAATAAAAGAAAGGAGTACGATGTCATTTATCATTAGCATATTAAGGGCGTGTATTAAAAGTTTGATAAAGAAAAAGATAATTAGTTATTTACGTAAGACAAATCACTATACTTGATTGATAAATACGATGAATAATATTTGACACGTTGTCGTTATAACGAATCGCTTAAGGCAACAGGCTCATTCGTCGTACAAGCATTTATTTATTGTCTCATATATTCACAAATTAAATATATATATTATCAAAAATTTTATTTCCGTTTATTCTCTTGAGTAACTAATGAAAAAGAGCATGAAAATATGTTATAATTATAAATTATTTATTTATTTATATATGTATAACTGTGTCCTATAAAATAATTATTCATTTTTTTTTCTATTTATATTTAATTAATATTGAAATTTTCATATTAATTATAATAACAGGTTTAAAATATAACAGGTATATTGTATCTTCTTCTATTAAAGAAAATATTTTTTATGTTTTCTAGTAGAAATAAATAATTAGTAGTTTTACATGACATTACATATGATATTAGATATGACATCAAAATTAAATGATTTTTATCTTTGATATATGAATAAAATGAATACTAAAATATATCTATATATGATTATAAAGCAACTAAAAAAAATATTATTTAAATTATCTCAAACGGTTGGCCCACTGTAATATTGATATCAAACACATATTGTTAGAGAGAATTAAAGGACATTTCTATCTTAATTTATTGAGTAAGGATACCATGAATATGGTTTAGATTTTATTCAATAAATAATGTATATATGTTATTATTATGCTATGCATCAATGATTTCTATAGAATTGAAAACTAACAAAAAATATCTTTATATAGTGGTTCGCATAAAGTTGATCAAAACAAATAATCAGTAGAAATAAGAAAAAACAACTAATAGGTTCTTGTTTTTTATCTTAACAAATGTCCCCATTTTTTCATGATTTAAAGTTGTAAGGAGAAAAACATAAAAACTTCCCGGAAGACACAGCCCTTCAAAAAAAAACGAAATGTGTGAACGAAAAAAAAACAAGGCAACTCAGGCGTGGACGAATAAATGAAACTAGTCTGAACGTTAAAGAGAAAAAGAAAACAACGCGAAACGAATCAGAAAAGAGAGTAACTACAAGGAATAAGTATCAACATG